AGTAATGTTGTAAAACCTGTAAATAGTGCATGGATGTGTGTAAATATAATAATGAAAAATGTGAATGCATATTATATATGGCATAATTGAAAACATTTGTGTGCGCATTTGTATACTCAATGTATGCAAGTTGTATTATCATTGAGCATCAAGTAACATTATATGCAACACAATTAGTGAAAAAATATTGTAATAAAATATGCCTAGACACTGTAAATAATGCAGCAAAAATAAATTCGTGGCAACTCTGGCTGCTTGAAGACACACCTTACATGAGCGAGCATGCAGGGTGTGACATCATCGCTCATATTGTCGACTCATTTATGTCATTGGTAAGTAAATTAAAAAATTTTTTTTATTTTTCTCATGGTCAGGGAACACAAATTAACAGGTTAAGAAGAAACTAATTTGTGTATTTTTTTTTTGTTATGCGCCTGTGGGTGACAAAAGCCAAATAGGCCTTAGCAGCTTGGGGGTTAATCATGATGTTGTTATTAACTTGTGATGGTGAGTGTATTTATTATGTTGTCATTAACCTGTGATAGTGAGTACTCATCACTAGGTACTTATCACTGAGTACTATGGAGGGTGGGCATAAGTAAGGAGGGTGGGTAGGATTAATATGTATTAATTATATTGTCATTAACCATTGATGGCAAGTGTATTAATCATATAGTCATTACCCAGTGATGGTGAGTAATTACCTAAGTGTAGTTACAGGATGAGAGCTATGCTCGTGGTGTTCCGTCTTCCCAGCACTCTTTGTCATATAACGCTTTGAAACTAAGTGTATTAATCATGGTGTTATGAACCAGTTATGTTGATTGTATTAACCCCCTAAACTACACATAGCACCTTTACCCTTTAACAGCATAAATTGCATATACAATTTTGGTCTAACTGCCTCCATTCTGCACATCGTATATATACATTTTAAAGTACCACGTAAGATTTAAAAGTCCCACGGCTACAAAGGATTCACATTAGCTACCTCAGGGCTCTAGTAAACAGACGCCATTTAAAAAAAATTGTGGGTAACATTTCCGGGTGCGAGTTTTTCAGTACTGAGTGAGCAACCAAGGCTGGTGCACTCATCATGAGCTAACAGCACTGTTGTTAAACTTGTGATCACAGCATCGCCTAAAAATGTCAAAATATTTATGTAACCGCTATTATTTTGTGATGATAGTATTCGTTATGGTGAGCACAAATGCAGATACTTTTGTAAAATGTATGCATATAGTGTAATAACAGCAAAAATATTTTTGTATTGTTTAACCACTGCACTGCGCAATGCGCCTTGAGGCTCTAGATTGGTAGTGCGCAAGGCGTCTCAGGGCACTTGTAGGTATAGCGTAGCATTCAAAGCTCTCGCTTCTACATGGGATTCACATCAGCTTCCTCAGGGCTTTCGTAAACAGACGCCATATAAAAAAAAAAATCGTTGGCAACATTCCTGTTATGAGAGCCTCAGTGCTGAGTGAGCAACTAAGGCTGGCGCACACACCATGAGCTAAATGCACTTTTGTTCAGCTTGTGACCACAGCATCACCTAAAAATGTCAAAATATATATGTAACTGGTATTATTTAGTCGTGATAGTATTACAGAAGAGTCTTACTGTGATAAAGACTGTACAATGTTCAAATATCAGTGAATGAATGCTGTTCAAGATGTTCACAGTGCTAGCCACAGCACACTGCCATTATTTCGTCTATGTAAGAATCTTTAATCCTCAAACCGCTCGGGGTCCAAATGGAATTAACACCCACACGCGCAACAAAAAAAAAAAATTCTAAAAAATTTTGTTTCTTTTTAATCTCTTTATTTGTGTTCCCTGAGCACGGAAAAAATAATAAAAAAATTTAATTACACTTACCATGGACGTAAATGACCCGAGAAGATCGTCGATGACGTCACGCCTCATCTTCGCTGGACCGCTGTGCGCCCGGGGTGAGTCAGGCGCGACGGAGAAGGAGCGCGAGTTGCCGCGAATTTATTTTCGCGTTATTATTTACAGTATCTATGGCATATTTTACACCCATTTTTTTCACTGGTGTGGTTCAATATGTTCTCACAAGATGATTTATAAACATAAAACTGTTGTCAATGTATATTGTATCCACATATTAGCGTCACAAGTATTTGCACAAAAATGTCTTATTTCACAATAAAATATACTATTTCTTATGATTTATTTCCATTATATACACTCACTTATTCTGTATTTACATGTTTTGGCACCAGTCTTGGACATTTAGAAGTCATCAAGACTGTGATACTCGTTGAAACATCGGACATGGCACAGAGGGACCTGACGCGCTGTGCACCAAGTCATCACCATTTTTCTTTTCTGTTCCCTCTTGGTTGTTGACCAGCATACTACACACACACGCTGGCCTACTGCACGCTTTCCAGTTGGTGGTAAAAACCTGAGATTGTGTGTCAAAAAGGCATCCCTGAAAGCGAGCCTGGGTGTTGGAGCATGGTGCAATACCGGGTTCAGAATGGGCCTCTGTACACCAGGAATTACTTTGCCAAACTTCTGTAGTAATTGTGTTACTACAGTAAAATTGAATGCACAGAAATTTCATTTACCATCTGTTTTGACAAAATACGTATTGTAACTGTTCAGCATTATTACATCAACAAGGTGGAAAAACATCTTCTTGGTCCACTTCACTGTTTTCTGTACACACTCTACTGCCCCTACCATCATATCACATTTATCCACCAAACGCATGTTGATGTTATAGTCCAAAACACAATCAGGCTTATAGATTATTTGTTTTGTTGTTCTGTTCACGTTGCCACTGTCCACCATTGTACCATCGTAAACGGTGGTCAACATGTTCACTTCACGCCTGTCTTTCCACTGCACTGAAAGCATTGCACCAGTTTTTCTTAGCTCGCAATCACCAACCTGCATAGCAGTGTGAAACACTGGCATTTTCCTTTGTTTTGCCTTCACTGTGCCACACACACCAGTTCTATTATCAAGCAAGAACCTGGTTAGCAAGGGACTGGTATAATAGTTATCTGTGTATAATATGTGGCTCTTGTTCAGATATGGTGCAAGCAGTGACTTCACCACACTACCCGAGAAGCCATGATTGTTATTAGCAGGAATGTCTACACTTGTACCTGTATACATTATCATGTGTAACACAGTTCCTGTTTCACAGTCACAGAGTACACAGAATTTAAATCCAAATCTGAGGCGTTTTGAGGGAATATACTGCTTGAAGGCAGACCATTCTTTGAAAAGCACAGTGGATTTATCAGTCGCCAGCTTCTGAGCTGGTACGTAGAAATCTCTGACTTTCAAACAAGTTCATTCAGGATGTGCCTCAACTTCCGAAGTCTTCAGTCTGGTCTTCATTATTTGTAAAATGAAGACACCTGAGGATTATCGCAAATCGGTCTCGAGACATATATTTCCCAAACAATGGTGTTGGAATAGTTTGGTCTTTGCTCCAATAATGGTCGAGTACGTGTTTGACACAATGCTTCATCAACAGACACATACATTTCACCTAAAGTCGTATCTTTCCATCGCTGTAATCGTGAAAAATCGGATAACTCCTCACCATTGAGATCAGTCGTATATTTGTTCGTTTCCTGAACAATATGCTCCATGAGCGGCTCATCAAAATATGCAGTAAAGTAGTCCATTTCACACATACCTGTATTATATATCATGCCATGAGTCCCAGGAAAGTCAGTGGTAAGGCTCAATATATGAAAACCCATGTAAGGATGCCATAGAGCAGAAACAAGAGTACAGAATGTCTCTTCCTCAACAATTAAGAAAATGTGTGCAGCATGGGAAGAATTGCAAACCTTTGCTGAAACGACTCACCCAAATCAAGCTGCTGTAGGCCGTTGCCTTAACCTATTCAATGACACTGATGCATCATTACAGACAAATGTTAAAATGAAGGGATAAAAATGTCTCTTGACAAATTTGTAGTGAGACAAACAAGCACTGAACCACAACCAGGTCCTAGTGGTATTCAGGGAAAACGTAGGAGAGAGAGTACCCCAGAGAAAACATCACTGCCTGATGTGATAATGGAAGGGAACTCCCCTTCCAAACAGTAACAACTCTCCTCCCAACTCATCACCATCTTCCATATGCCATCAAGACCCCTCCATAAAGGTAAGATCAACTTAGGTACTGTATTGTAGTTAGAAAAAAACATTGTATTCAGTATAAAATGTATTTGTATGTTAATATTTTGGAGGGTGGGGAACGGATTAATTCAAATCCCTTTATTTCTTATGGGAAAAATCGCTTCGACTTACGATATTTTGAGTTACGATCCGTCTCTGGGAACGGATTAGCATCGTAAGTCAAGGCCCCATTGTAATGGGTTTGTTCCCATTTCCAGTTATAACATCATTCATGTTGTTAACAATATCACCAATTCCTGCTCCCGAATAGCAAACCCTTAACTTGTTCCCCCTATCCTTGGCACAAAACATTTTAGCCAAATACCTCACCTGGGAATCTCCCACAATGAAAATTCGCTTAAGTACTCTCATTACTTTGTGAGCATCTTGAGGGACTTGCGCTCCCTTCGTTGTCTTCCCTTTCGAGGGACTAAGACCAACTTAAACTAAGAATACTTGATCTTTCCTCCATTATCACATACGATACATACATTTCCTTCCATTATTCGTAAGAAAGTAAGGACGGGTTTTGTTAGTCTGTACTCTCGGGTACGGCTTACAAGCAGCCCTACTGCTGCAATATGTTACCTAAAAATATTATCCTATACTCCGGGATATATTTATAAAAAATATTGGCCCTTCTGTGGATATGTTAATCTGTCAGTAATATTAACTCTGCTCTAGAATAGCTAATACAAAAAATGTATGTAAATATTATATAATTACTATTAGTAAAAAAAGTACCTGCACTGTAATATTACTTTTTTTCGAGGTGACACTGTACTGTAATAATACATATAGCTTAACCAAATATTCTTTCCACAGGATAACAAGCCAGAGGAATGTTCAGTGTGTTATAACGATTATGATGACAATCAGCTACGGCCTCGTACACTGCCGTGCGGCCACACATTCTGCTCCCAGTGTATTGACAATGCTATCGAGAATGGTCAACTGACCTGCCCCAACTGCCGTGCCCAGCACGCTGCCACAGCTGCTACTCAGTTCCCAATTAGCTACGCTGTGGAGGCTTTTGTTAGGAAACTGAAAGATATCCAGCTAACACAAAAGAAAACTGTACCAGTAAAAAAGAAGTTACATTCCCTGGTGCAGGAGCAGAAGAGCAGCATCAGCAGCCTCATTACTAGCTGTGAAGAGGTACTGTCCCAGCTGGGGGAGTACCGGGGGCAGTTGGGGGACTGGAAGACTTGCCACCTTCAGCTCCAGGACAGACTCTATGCTCTGGTAGAGCAGAACAAGTCAGCAATGAAGCTCTTGGAACTGGAGGATACCAGTGTGGTGAATATGACAACACAAGGAGAGGAAGGGAAGACTCAGCTGCAGGCCATGTTGGGGAGCCTCGACACAGGCAACACCCCACAGGAAGTTTACACAACCATAGGCACAGCTGATGAGTGCAGCATGAAGGTAGAAGATTGGCTCCAGAAGTGCCGGGAACTCTTCCCAAATGTCAAGACTGTCCACACCTCAGTGAAGGTACGCTGCTGAAGGTCACATTGTTCTCACCCAACTGAGTGTAGTATTGCCTCTATATAAACACTTTTGACATGGAGACACATCAAGATGAGAGTTGACTTTATATATAGGAAATTTTTTGCTCTAACACCTGAAACATTGTTATTAATAAAGTCAACTGTCATCTTGGTGTTTCTCTACACTGTGGTCAGTGTAGAGAAACATTACTTATATTGTCAAATTACTTTACTCATTCTGATGCTTCATTATATATAGTCCAGTTACTTTACTCAGAGCCTGATGCTTCATTATAGTCCAGTTACTTTACTCAGAGCCTGATGCTTCATTATAGTCCAGTTACTTTACTCAGAGCCTGATGCTTCATTATAGTCCAGTTACTTTACTCAGAGCCTGATACTTCATTATAGTCCAGTTACTTTACTCAGAGCCTGATGCTTCATTATAGTCCAGTTACTTTACTCAGTGCCTGATGCTTCATTATAGTCCAGTTACTTTACTCAGAGCCTGATGCTTCATTATAGTCCAGTTACTTTACTCAGAGCCTGATGCTTCATTATAGTCCAGTTACTTTACTCAGAGCCTGATGCTTCATTATAGTCCAGGTTCCACCATTAATGTTTGTGTTGGTAATGACAGGTGCAGGAGACCATCAGGGAGGCCCTGGAGATGATGACCACAGAGACAGGTGCCACAGCTGACCCCGTACACCTGGGAGACTCAGCCTCCAGCATCATGGATAAAGTTCAGGAAATCACTTTAGAGATCCCCCAGAAGCAATTAACAGTAAGTTTTTTATTTTCTCACATAGGTCATACCACAAGATATTGAGTTGAGTTTTGAGGAGAGGAAGCCTGTTCTTAGGTTTATCGGGGTTCCCCAAGGTCAACTACTGACTTTCCTTAACATACAATCCACAATAGTTGCCTAACTCCTGGATAAATATTTACTGGTTGGTGAACAGAGGCAACAGGTGAAAGGCAACAGGAAACATGTTAACCATTTCTGTCCTGCATGGTGATTGAACCCGTGATCCTCTATTGAACCCGCGATCCTGGCTCCCCCTCACAGAGGCGCAGAGAGCGGGAGACACTCCACCAACCTTTCCAAAAAAGTGTACCTGGTTGATACCTGGTTGATGGGGTTCTGGGAGTTGTTCTACTCCCCAAGCCCGGCCCGAAGCCAGGCTTGACTTGAGAGAGTTTGGTCCACTAGGCTGTTGCTTGGAGCGGCCCGCAGGCCCACATATCCACCACAGCCCGGTTGATCTAGCACTCCTTAGGAGAAACAATCTAGTTTCCACTTGAAGATGTGTACGGTTGTTCCGGCAATATTTCTTATGCTCGCTGGGAGGACGTTGAATCCAGTAAGACAGTGAACCAAATCAGACACGGCTTTGGCGGCGGTGGTGGACAGTGGCGGCAGCGGGCGGACAGTGGTGGCGGCGGGTGGACAGTGGAGGCGGCGGGCGGACAGTGGAGGCAGCGGGCGGACAGTGGAGGCGGCGGGCGGACAGTGGTGGCGGCGGGCGGACAGTGGTGGCGGCGGGCGGATAGTGGTGGCGGCGGGCGGACAGTGGCGGCGGTGGCGGACAGTGACGGCAGTGGCGGACAGTGGCGGCGGTGGCGGACAGTGGCGGCGGTGGCGGACACTGGCGGCTGTGTCTGGCGGTGGTGGCGGGTGGCGGCGTCTGTGATGAGTGGTGGCGGCTGGCGGTGGTGGGTGGTGGCGGCGGTGGTGGTGGCGGCGGTGGTGGTGGGTGGTGGTGGCGGCGGCGGCGGCGGCTGGTGGTGGTGGGTGGTGGTGGCGGTGGTGGTGGGTGGTGGTGGCGGCGGCGGCTGGTGGTGGTGGTGGGTGGTGGGTGGCGGCGGCGGCTGGTGGTGGTGGGTGGTGGTGGCGGGTGGTGGCGGCTGTGGTGGGTGGTGGCGGGCGGTGGCGGGCGGCGGCGGCTGTGGTGGGTGGTGACGATCGGCGGTGGGGGGGGGCTGGTGGCGGCTGGCGGTGGGTGGTGGCAAGTGGTGGTGGGTGGTGGCGGCTGGTGGTGGGTGGTGGCAGCGGCGGCGGTGATGGGTGGTGGCGGCGGCGGTGGTGGCGGCGGCGGTGATGGGTGGTGGCGGCGGTGATGGGTGGTGGCGGCGGTGGTGGTGGTGGGTGGTGGTGGCGGCGGCGGCTGGTGGTGGTGGGTGGTGGTGGTGGGTTGTGGCGGCGGCGGGTGGCGGTGGTGGGTGGTGGGTGGTGGCGGCGGGTGGTGAGTGGCGGTGGTGGGTGGCGGTGGCTGGTGGCGGGTGGCGGCTGGTGGTGGGTGGTGGCGGGTGGCGGCAGGTGGTGGGTGGTGGCGGCGGGTGGTGAGTGGCGGTGGTGGGTGGCGGTGGCTGGTGGCGGGTGGCGGCTGGTGGCGGGTGGCGGCGGGTGGTGGGTGGTGGCGGGTGGCGGCTGGTGGCGGGTGGCGGCGGGTGGTGGGTGGTGGCGGCGGGTGGTGAGTGGCGGTGGTGGGTGGCGGTGGCTGGTGGCGGGTGGCGGCTGGTGGTGGGTGGTGGCGGGTGGCGGCTGGTGGTGGCGGGTGGCGGCTGGTGGTGGGTGGTGGCGGCTGGTGGTGGGTGGTGGCGGCGGCGGCGGTGATGGGTGGTGGCGGCGGCGGTGGTGGTGGGTGGTGGTGGCGGCGGCGGTGATGGGTGGTGGCGGCGGCGGTGATGGGTGGTGGCGGCGGTGGTGGTGGGTGGTTGTGGCGGCGGCGGCTGGTGGTAGTGGGTGGTGGTGGTGGGTGGTGGCGGCGGGTACCGGTGGTGGGTGGCGGCTGGTGGTGGGTGGTGGCGGCGGGTGGTGAGTGGCGGTGGTGGGTGGCGGTGGCTGGTGGCGGGTGGCGGCTGGTGGTGGGTGGTGGCGGCTGGTGGTGGGTGGTGGCGGGTGGCGGCTGGTGGTGGGTGGTGGCGGGTGGTGGCGGCGGCGGCGGTGATGGGTGGTGGCGGCGGCGGTGGTGGTGGGTGGTGGCGGCGGTGGCGGTGATGGGTGGTGGCGGCGGCGGTGGTGGTGGGTGGTGGCGGCGGTGATGGGTGGTGGCGGCGGTGGTGGTGGGTGGTTGTGGCGGCGGCGGCTGGTGGTAGTGGGTTGTGGTGGTGGGTGGTGGCGGTGGGTACCGGTGGTGGGTGGCGGCTGGTGGTGGGTGGTGGCGGCGGGTGGTGAGTGGCGGTGGTGGGTGGCGGTGGCTGGTGGCGGGTGGCGGCTGGTGGTGGGTGGTGGCGGCTGGTGGTGGGTGGCGGCTGGTGGTGGGTGGCGGCTGGTGGTGGGTGGTGGCGGCGGCGGCGGTGATGGGTGGTGGCGGCGGCGGTGGTGGTGGGTGGTGGCGGCGGTGGTGGTGGGTGGTGGCGGCGGTGATGGGTGGTGGCGGCGGTGGTGGTGGGTGGTGGTGGCGGCGGCGGCTGGTGGTGGTGGGTGGTGGTGGTGGGTGGTGGCGGCGGGTGGTGGGTGGCGGTGGCTGGTGGCGGCTGGTGGTGGGTGGTGGCGGCGGGTGGTGGGTGGCGGTGGCTGGTGGCGGCTGGTGGCGGCTGGTGGCGGGTGGCGGCTGGTGGTGGCGGCTGGTGGTGGGTGGTGGCGGGTGGCGGCTGGTGGTGGGGGGCGGGTGGCGGCGGGTGGTGGGTGGTGAGTGGCGGTGGTGGGTGGCGGTGGCTGGTGGCGGGTGGCGGCTGGTGGTGGGTGGTGGCGGCTGGTGGTGGGTGGTGTCGGGTGGCGGCTGGTGGTGGGTGGTGGCGGGTGGCGGCTGGTGGTGGGTGGTGGCGGGTGGCGGCTGGTGGTGGGTGGCGTCTGGTGGTGGGTGGTGGCGGGTGGCGGCTGGTGGTGAGTGGCGGCTGGTGGTGGGTGGCGGCGGGTGGCGGCTGGTGGTGGGTGGCGGGTGGCGGCGGGTGGCGGCTGGTGGTGGGTGGTGGCGGGTGGCGGCTGGTGGTGGGTGGCGGCTGGTGGTGGGTGGTGGCGGGTGGCGGCTGGTGGTGGGCGGCGGGTGGTGGGCGGCGGGTGGTGGGTGGCGGCGGGTGGCGGCTGGTGGTGGGTGGCGGCGGGTGGCGGCGGGTGGTGGGTGGCGGCGGGTGGCGGCGGGTGGTGGGTGGCGGCTGGTGGTGGGTGGTGGCGGGTGGCGGCTGGTGGTGGGTGGCGGCTGGTGGTGGGTGGTGGTGGGTGGCGGGTGGCGGCTGGTGGTGGGCGGCGGCTGGTGGCGGCCAGCTGGGACACACCCTTCTCCACTGAAGGTCTGAGAACAACTAACCATATGTCTCTCTCACCCACCAGCCCAGTGTTGCCAGCTCGCGCTCTCAAAATGTTTCCTTCAAAGATTGTATATTATCTTTGAACAACAAGTTTGATTATCAAGGAAATAATGCATATATTATTGTCACATTAATACTGTGCAATATCTTATTACATTCCTGCTAAATAATTATAATTTGAAACAGGACAAAAAATCCCACATATATATAAAAACCAACATTAGACATCACGAGGCCTAGGCCTCGCCTGTGACCACACATCCTGCCTCCCTGGCCTGCTACACTCACACACCTCACACTCTTAACTCTCTCATAATCACTCTCACTCTCTGTCACTCTTACTCTCTGTCACTCTTACTCTCTGTCACTCTTACTCTCTGTCATTCTTACTCTCTGTCACTCTTACTCTCTGTCACTCTTACTCTGTCACTCTTACTCTCTGTCACTCTTACTCTCTGTCACTCTTACTCTCTGTCACTCTTACTCTGTCACTCTTACTCTCTGTCACTCTTACTCTCTGTCACTCTTACTCTCTGTCACTCTTACACTGTCATTCTTACTCACTCTGTCACCCTTACCCATTCATACTCACTCTCTCTCTTACTCTCATACTCTTACTCTCAATTACTCTTACTCTCAATTACTCTTACTCTCAATCACTCTTACTCCCAATCACTCCTACTCCCAATCACTCCTACTCTCAATCACTCCTACTCTCATTCTTACTCTTACTCCTACTCCCAATCACTCTTACTCTCAATCACTCTTATTCTCATTCTTACTCTTACTCTCACTCTTACTCTTACTCCCAATCACTCTTACTCCCAATCACTCTTACTCTCAATCACTCTTACTCTCAATCACTCTTACTCTCAATCACTCTTACTCTCATTCTTACTCTTACTCACTCTTACTCTCAATCACTCTTATTCTCATTCTTACTCCTACTCCCAATCACTCTTACTCCCAATCACTCTTACTCTCAATCACTCTTACTCCCAATCACTCTTACTCTCAATCACTCTTACTCTCAATCACTTTTACTCTCAATCACTCTTACTCTCAATCACTCTTACTCTCACTAACTCTCAATCACTCTTACTCTCACTCTAACTCTCAATCACTCTTATGCACTATTACTCACTCTTTCTCTCAGTCATCCTTACTCACTCTCATACTCACTCTTACTCTGTCACTCTTACTCTCTGTCACTCTTACTCTGTCACTCTTACTCTCTGTCACTCTTACTCTGTCACTCTTACTCTCTATCACTCTTACTCTGTCATTCTTACTCTGTCACTCTTACTCACTCTCAGTCACCCTAACCCATTCATACTCACTCACTCTTACTCTCATACTCTCAATTACTCTTACTCTCAATCACTCTTACTCCCAATCACTCCTACTCCCAATCACTCCTACTCTCAATCACTCCTACTCTCATTCTTACTCTTACTCTTACTCCCAATCACTCGTACTCTCAATCACTCTTATTCTCATTCTTACTCTTACTCTCACTCTTACTCCCAATCACTCTTACTCCCAATCACTCTTACTCTCAATCACTCTTACTCTCAATCACT